TTTCCTCGGTTCGGGATTCAACCGGTGACTTGGGACACCATTAATCTCCCAAGTGGCGACTCTGAATAATTAATAATTAAATCCCGCTCCGATTGTCCTTTAAATGGAAAAACTCCTTTGCGCCCTTGCGGGTGTAGGTGAAAAAGGAGGTGTGACAACGATGATGATGTGTATCAATTATCAGTAGTTGAACAAAATCATTATTAAGAACAAGTATTCATTGCCGATGATTGATGACTTATTTGATTAGCTTTATGGTTGCCAAGGTATTTTCCAAGATTGCCTTGAGATCTGGCTATAATCAGTTGAAGATTAGGGCATCGGATATCCCTAAGATAGCCTTTCGGACTCGGTATGGTCACTACGAGTTCTTAGTAATGTCATTTGGATTGACTAATTCCCTACCAGCCTTTATGGATTTGATATACCGGGTGTTCATGCCCTATTAGAATTCTTTTGTAATCGTCTTCATTAATGATATTTTGGTTTACTCCTGTAGTCGAGAGGATCATGAACAACATCTACGGATTGTACTTTAGACTTTGAGAGATCGTCAGTTATATGCCAAGTTTTTAAAGTGTGAGTTTTGGTTGGACTCGATTGCCTTTTTGGGTAATATTGTATCTTTCGAGGGTATTAAAGTGGATCCAATGAAGATTGAGGCAGTTCAGAACTGGCCTAGACCTCCTTCAGCTATAGGGATTCGGAGCTTCTTGGGTTTGGCGGGTTATTATCACCGGTTCATGGAGAGGTTTTCATCTATCTCAATCCCATTAACCAAGTTGACCTAGAAGGGTGCTTTTTCAGATGGTCTGACGAGTGTGAGTTGAGCTTTCAAAGGCTCAATATTGCATTGACTACAGTCCTAGTGTTGGTGTGGCCTACAGGTTGGGGATCTTACACCGTGTATTGTGATGTATTGCCTATTGGGATTGGCACAATATTGATGTAGGACATTAGGGTGATTGCCTACGTGTCTCGACAGTTGAAGGTTCATGAGAAAAATTACCATGTGCATGATTTAGAGTTGGCAGCCATTGTTCATGCGTTAAAGATTTAGAGGCACTATCTATACGATATTCCATGTGAGGTCTATTACGACCATCAGAGTCTCCAGCACCTGTTCAAATAGAAAGACCTTAATTTGCGGCAGCGAAGATGGTTAGAGTTGTTGAAAGACTATGATATCACCATATTGTGTCATCGGGGGAAGGCCAATGTAGTGGCTGATGCATTTAGTAGGAAGGTGGAGAGCATGGGTAGTTTGGCATATTTACCGGTAGTAGAGAGGCCACTAGCTATGGATGTTTAGGCCTTGGCCAATCGATTTGTGAGATTGGATGTTTCGGAGCCTAGCTGGGTCCTTGCTTATGTTGTGGCACAGTCTTTGTTGGCTTGCTAGTTTGATTATCATCACTTGTTGGTGTTGAATGATATGGTGCATCGGGGTGGTGCTAAAGAGGTTGTGATTGGTGATGATGGTGTTATGCGGCTTTAAGGCGGTATTTATGTTCCAAATATTGATGGTGTTATCCATGATGAGTCATATAGTTCGTGCTATTCCATTCATCCATGTGTAACAAAGATGTACTGTGACTTGAAACAACATTATTGGTGGAGAAGAAAGAGGAAAGACATCGTTCTTATGTATCTCGGTGTTTGTATTATCGATAGGTATAGTATGAACATCATAAATCGGGTAGATTAAATCAGATATTGGAAATACCGAAGTGGAAGTGGGGAGTACATCACTATGGATTTTGTGGTAGGTTTACCATGGACCTTGAGGAAATATGATGCAATCTGGGTTATTGTAGACCGGTTGACTAAGTTCGCACACTTCATTCTGGTGGAGACGTCCAATTCTTTATAACGGTTGGCTTAGATATATATCCAGGAGATTATCCGCCTGCACAGTGCGCCCATTTCCATCATTTTTGACCGAGGCATGCAGTTCACATCGCATTTTTGGAGAGTCAGGCAGCGTGAGTTAGGCACGCAGATCAAGCTGAGTACTACATTTCATCCTCATACAGACAGGCAGTCCGAGGGCACGATTGAGATCTTGGAGGACATGTTACGTGCATGCGTTATGGATTTTGGAGGTTCATGGAACCAGTTCTTACCTTTAGCAGAGTTCGCCTACAACAACAGTTACCAATCGAGTATTCAAATGGCGTCGTTTGAGGCCTTATATGGGAGGCGACGTTGTTCACCGATTTGTTGGTTTGAGCCCGGAGAGGCTAAACTATTAGGTACTGATTTGGTCCGTGATGCTATGGAAAAAGTTAAGGTGATTCAAGAACGACTTTGTATAGCTCACTCCATACAAAAGTGTTATGCAGACCAGATAGTTCGAGATGTAGCTTATATGGTAGGTGAGAAGGTTCTTCTCCGAATGTCACCTATGAAGGGCATGATGCAGTTCGAGAAAAGGGGCAAGTTGAGTCTGAGGTTTATTGGCCTGTTTGAAATCTTGGAGGGAGTTGGGGAGGTTGCTTATAGACTTGCATTGCCTCCTAGCCCAGCAGGGGTACATTTGGCATTTCACGTGTCCATGCTTTAGAAGTACCATGAGGATAGCTCACATGTTTTGGATTTCAACACATTGCAGCTTGAAGAAAATTTGGCCTATGAGGAAGAGCTAGTTGCTATTCTAGACTTGCAGGTTCGCAAGTTGAGATCCAAGAGTTTTTCTTCTATGAAAGTGCAATGTAGGGGTCTTCTAATTAAGGAGGCTACGTGGGATTACAAGTTCGATATGCGGAGTAGTAACCCCCACCTTTTACCGGTCTAAGTACCTATTTATGTTTGTTCGAGGACGAACGTGTCTTTTAGAGATGGAGAATGTGACGACCTAATAGGTCATTTTGAGTACTAGCCTTTATTTCTGCATTCCGAGACCTTTATTAGCTCCATTTGATGTTTTTTGATTTGCGTGCATGGTCCGTGTCATTTTTCGAAAAATAATTACGTAAAAATTTGAAGAAAAAGTAATCTTTAGCTTACAATTGGACTTGAATTGACCATGATCAGCATTCTTGGTAAACCATATTGGATCGGTATTTTGACGATTTTGGTAAGTTTGTATGATTTTTGTGGACTTGCACGCACTTTTGGTTGGTGTCCGAGGAGACCCAAGCACATTTCCGTATGTTATGTGGAAAATTGTGAAAATGAGTATTCAAGTTGAAAATCATGAGTTTTGATGATCGAT